CATATATAATTACATATTGTTTTTGTGATTAATCACTATGCTTTAATTATGTTCAGTTTGTAACAATGAAAATATATCCTGCATATCAGATATTTACATTACGATTCATAACAGTAGCAAAATTACAGTTATGAAGTAGCAACGAAAAAAAATTTATGGTTGGGGGTCACCACAACATGAGGAACTGTATTAAAGGGTCGAGGCATTAGGAAGGTTGAGAACCACTGATCTAGATCATCTAGATTCTAGATGCTGATTACATGGGCACCTTCCCTAAGAAAACTTATTGACATGTTATTTCTAAAATTCGCTGATTAGGTGAAAGAGATTATAAAATAAAAATATATTCAGCCTGGCAGGTGCGGCTCAGTGGTTGAGCATCGACCTATGAACCAGGTCATGGTTTGATTCCCAGTCAGGGCTTCATCCCCAGTAGGGGCTGTGCAGGAGGCAATCAATAGATTATTCTCTCTCATCATTGATGTTTCTCTCTCTCTCTCTCTCTCTCTTCCTCTCTGAAATCAATAAACATATTTTTAAATATCTATATTCAAACAATAAAAACTCATTGAGCTGCACATTCATGATTTCTGCACTTTTCTGTATGTATGCTATTTTTCAATGAAAAGTTCAAAAAATTAAGCAGGAGTCCTGAAGAGGTAGCATAAGGACATCATAGATGCCAGGCTTCTGAGCCATTACCTCACTTCCTTACCCTTGACCCAGCATTTCATCTCAACCACCATCAACAGAGAGATTCCACAGAAGGGTGATAAATGGGGTAAATAAAACGAGAGGCCTGACTTAGCCTAGCAAAGGCTTTGGCTTCTAGAAGATACTCACTACAGACTCTCAATGTTACAGAGAGCAGAAATTTGGAACATACACACCACCCAGTGCAGGGGTCACACCCAAGGAAAACAGATGGAGTTGCAGTAAAAATGATAGCAGATATTTACTGAGCTAATATGACAGAAGGCGGAGCCAAAACTCCATATATTTATCTCAATTCTCACAATAATCCTAGAACAATGTTAGTACATCGTACCAAGTGCACAGAAGGCTCTTAATAATAAATATTTGCTGAGTGATAGATGCTATTATTGCTTCAAAACGGTACCTTGTCCCAATGTTATACAGGATGGCACAGCCTTAATTCAAACCCTGAGCGGCGGGATTCTAATGACTGCTCTTAACCACTTCACTGTATGTGCAAGTGAACAATGTTAAATATATGCCTCCGAGAGCTTACTTCTGATGTGCTTATTACAATAAGTCAGGCTTCCCAGACTCTGACTGAGAGGCCAAATGGGCCTTGGTTTCCTTATCCATAAAATGGAATAGTAACCGAACCTTCCTTTTATTCAACCAATACATGTATTAACTGCCCACTGTGTGCCAGGCAGTGTTCTAGGATTACTGAGGATTAAAGAGGAGAATGCAGAATGGTAAATCCACTCGCTCACTTCCTAACTCCTTGTTCTATTTGTAAGGACAGTGGTTCTCTTTTGTTGTTGTTATTTTTTATATATATATTTTTTATTGATTTTTTTACAGAGAGGAAGGGAGAGGAATAGACAGTTAGAAACATCGATGAGAGAGAAACATGATCAGCTGCCTCCTGCACACCCCCCACTGGGGATGTGCCCGCAACCAAGGTACATGCCCTTGACCGGAATGGAACCCGGGACCCTTCAGTCCGCAGGCCGACGCTCTATCCACTGAGCCAAACCGGTCAGGGCTGTTGTTGTTGTTATTATTGTTTTTCACTAATTTGATCTTACGAAACTCACATACAATTCACACAAAATTTTGCACTCAATTTCAGATGATTCATAAACCTTCGAAAGTCCACGTATTGCCCTCTGCTGTGGTTTTAAGGATTGTTGCAGAGGAACTCGGCATACCATGTTCTCACATCAGAAACCGCCAATGGCATCCACAAGTACCCCTTACAGCAGGGAAGGGATCCCATTTCTACAGACCACAGAAATAGAAAACTGGCATATTTAATCACTGCACTTTCACAGACGGTAAACCAGGATAAGAATCTCTCTATCTCATGCCTCTCAGTCCAGTGCTTTTCCCAGCTGTCAAGACAGAAGGCCCTTCGGTTCTAGGGTAAGATTACGGGAAGCAGGAGAGGTAGGTAAGCGCAGCACGACGGGGGTGGGGGCAACCTAGACAAGTCTCTCTCTAGGAGCACCTGCTACCTCCGTAAAATGGGATAACAACTTCTGCTGCTCTTCCCCTCCCGGTGGTGCTGCCACACCATGGCTCCAAGGAGGAAGGACGCGCTGCTTCACCGGGGCGATGCAGATCGCCGGGACGGCTGAGATCAGTACCCAGAGCCTCGGGGCCCTGCGGGCAGGAGCGCTCACGCGGCTCTGCGGCCGGCTTCCGGCTTTCCCACCGCCAACGCGCAGCCCCTGGCGGGGCCCAAAGTGTTTCAGCAACCGGGATGCGCGGAAGGGACGCTCCTAACGGGCTTAGGACGATGCCTGGCACTCAGCAGACGCTTAGTAAGTATCTGCTGAATTAATCAATGGCCGAGTCGACAGAGAACAACTTCCTCAGTCCCCGCGGCTCAGTACCCCTCCAGCCCGCGGGCCGCCACACGCACCGCGGGCCGAACCTTCCTGAAGCGAGGAGCAAGTCCTCCACGTCCCACCGTCCCTGCTGCAGGAGCTCGTGGAGCTGCAGTAACGCTCACCTGCACCAGCTGGACTCCTCTAGCAGCCAAGGGGCCGCGCGGGCAGCGGAAACGGGATCCTCACTAGGGATGGAATGAAGGTGAAGAGAAATTTTCGCGCCGAACGTCGAAGCCCCGCCCCGAGGCTGTCTCCTAGTTGCGTCACCAGCCCGCCCTCCCTTCTGTCCCGCCTACCTAACCCGGAGTCCCGCCCCCCTTCTGTCCCGCCTACCTAACCCGGAGTCCCGCCCCCTTCTGCCCCGCCTACCTAACCCGGAGTCCCGCCCCCTTCTGTCCCGCCTCCCTAACCCGGAGTCCCGCCCACTTATGTCCCGCCTACCTAAGAGAGGACGCATGACGTAGGCACGCCTACGTGCAGCGGCCGTACTTGATTCTATCGGGGCAGGAAGTTCCCTACGCTGCAGCATTTCCGATGTCAAGCTGGTAACGTGAGCTATTTAAAGGAGACTTCCTCCATCTTTCTTCGTATCTGTTTTGTGTGTGTTTTTAACCGGGATATGACGCACTAAAGGACCCGACGGAAATAGAACTGAAAGCGTTCTAAAATGGCGAACCGCACGGTGAAGGATGCCCACAGCATTCACGGCACCAACCCGCAGTATCTGGTGGAGAAGATCATTCGGACTCGAATCTATGAGTCCAAGTATTGGAAAGAGGAGTGCTTTGGCCTTACGGGTGAGTGGAAGCGCGCCGACCCCACTTGGTGGCCCGGTTCCGACTGGGCGCCGGTAGGACTAGACCCTGGAGGCGGGGGGACTGGAAGGGACTCTGTCATTTAGAAAACCTGAGCGCCTACAGAGTAGGCCCTACTCTGTGCCTAGACTTGTTCTTAGGCTTTGGGCTCACAGGGTCTTATTCCGAAGGGTGTCTCAGTTGGGTTCTTTGAGTTGTTCCATGTTTAATGATAACTTGCTGGGTTGCAGACCCGAAAGTCTTTTCTTTTTTGGTAGCTAACATTTATTATTTGCTATGTCAGGCTTGATTCTCACTACGGGCCTTAAACTTTATTTATTATTTAAATTTGAACTCACAGGCTCAGAGAGAGGTGAAGTGACTTGCCCTAGTTCACACAGCTAGTGTTTGATTTTGACAACTTTGGAAGGTTATCCCCATTTTGTAGATGAGGTGTTTTGTTTTTTTTATTTCTTAAAGTATTACAAAGAGTATTACACATGTCTCCTTTTTCTCCCCCTTGACATTCCCCCGGCTTCCCCCACCCCCCAGTGTCTTGTGTCCATTAGTTATTCTCATTTCGGTTGATCTCCTACCCCACCCCCCCAACCCTCCCCAGGGTTCCCACTGTAGTTTGACATTCTGCTCAATGCTGCTCTGCCTCTATCCATTTTTGTTCATCAGTCTATAATGTTTCTTATTATCCATAAATGAGTGAGTTCATGTGGTATTTTTCTCAGCTTCCCAGGGGCCATCTCAGTCTCACAGGGGCCATCTCAGCCTCACAGGGGCCGTCCCAGCCTCACGGGGGCCGTTTCAGCCTCACCGGGGCCGTTTCAACCTGTAGATGAGGTTTATTCTCTGTTATGTAGCTGTTGAAGAGTTGTTACTGTGTTTTGTGTCTTTTGTGAATGAAAAGGGGGCTCTGTAATGAATCTGACATGTTGAGTGACAGGAAGTACAGTAAACCCTCGATTTTTCCGAGCTTGATTTAACGGACAAAATTTCCAGTTTATATGTCCTGTGAAAATCAACACCCTGTTAATTTTAACATGCTTTTAACCAAGATTTGGTTATAAGTAAATTAACAGGTTCTTTTTTTGTTGTTGTTCACTGTGTTGTTGTTTTTATCTCCCCATTTTGGCTGCCTGTTTGTGTACAGTGGGGCCTTGACTTACGAGTTTAATTTGTAAGTGAACGAGTGAGACACGTGATGCTGGGCTAATGTTGTGGCGTTCACTGTGACGTTTTCACTGCGCCAACTAGCGGCGGGGTATCTGAAGCTGGCTCGTAACCCGAATTTTAGCTCGAAACTCAAAGCAAAAAAATCGGCCGAGAGATGGCTCGTATCTCGAAAAACTTGTTAGTCGGGACACTCGTAAGTCAAGGCCCCACTGTATTAGGTAGATCTGCTAAACCTCTCAATCTCTAGTGCAAGACAATGTCAAACCCTGTTTCTGACCAATTAGATCAGGCAAAGCCTCCACAGACCTGCCTCTGCCTGCAGATTGATTGGATTCCTCTTGAGTAGCCCTCAGGTAATCATCCACAGTTGGGGCAAGAGGTTTTCCAACAGGGTGGGGCAATTGCTTCTGCCTGGAGGCTAATTGTTATTCTCAGTCTCTTAATGGGCCTCAGAAATTCTACTCCTCTAAGGTCAACTGTCTTACCCCCAAGCAAAACTGCCTGGATAGCAAAGGTCTACCTGAGAAAGATGACCTCCACAGCGTGAGGGAATGATATGAAACCGGGCTGGCTGCCTTCTGAACTCTAACCCCAGATCCCCCAACCCTGTCTTCTGCTCACACAGCTCCAGTCCTCTCTGCCCTCCCTTTGCTGGAGCACAAGGTGAGTGGCTGTGCACGAAATTTTGTGTGTTGGCCCTTTAAGAAGGTGCCTGCATTTCCAGCCATCTCTCCCTGGCAGACAGCAACCCTGCTGCTTTTCACAGCCAGGTGTTATATGGGCACCTTTCTCAGTTCTGGTGCTCTCTGCTGGGTGGCCCAGCTTTGGGAATTAGACCCGAGTTCTCAGTGGCAACCCCCCACAGCTGAGATCTCTCTCCGGAAGTTTAGCTACTGTCTGTGGGAGCCTGGCCAACCCTTTCACGCCTCTGCCCTTCCTTCCAGTCTCTATGTGGTCTCCACTTTCCATCCTTGGTTATCGGGGTTTCCTCTAGCTAGCCTTCAGTTGATTATTCAGTATGTTTTTTGTGTGTTTTAGTTGTAATTCCAGTTTGTTCCTGGGAACCTGTCTGTGTAGCATCCACTTACTCTGCTGCCATTTTTAATCTCCTTTACTGTGGGTTTTTAAAAATATATTTTTATTGACTTCAGAGAGGAAGGGAGAGGGACAGAAACATCAATGATGAGAGCGAATCATTGATCAGCTGTCTGCTGCACAGCCCCTACTGGGTATTGAGCCCACAACCCGGGCCTGTGCCCTGACTGAGAATCAAACCATGATCTGGTTCAAAGGTCAACTTTCAACCACTGAGCCACACCAGCTGGGCATTCACTGTTAGTTTTAACACATTTTAGTGACTAGGCCATATATTAGAAAAAAAAACACTGTAGTATTATCAGTGACATAAATAAATATGACATATCTACAACTATAGTCTGCATATTTAAATCGAAGATTCACTTCGAGTAAGCAATGTTCAGGGAATGATTAACACATGATCACACCATATCTTTTTTTTTAATATATTTTATTGATTATTTACAGAGAGGAAAAGAGAGGGATAGAGAGCTAGAAACATCGATGAGAGAGAAACATCGATCAGCTGCCTCCTGCACACCCCCTACTGGGGATGTGCCCACAACCAAGGTACATGCCCTTGACCGGGATTGAACCTGGGACCCGTCAGTCCCCAGGCCGACGCTCTATCCAGTGAGCCAAACCGGTTAGGGCAATCACACCATATCTTGAGTGGTAATTGGTTCTCTTGCCTGTAGTGTGACTTTTTGTAGCAGTTTTAATGCCTGCAGGCTGATGTTCTGAGTGCTAAGCCACAACCCAGCTGTGTGCATTTGTTTGCTTATGGTGACTGATAACTAGACCTATCCAGTATACATTTAAAATCACAGTAATACAATAGAAAAGAAATTTTTTTTGAAAAATTTTTGATGAAATTAAATTTTTCATTATACAAACATGTCTACATAAGTAAAAACAGGTAAACTAATTTGTCAATTTCTTAACATGCATTTGGACACCCTCTCACCTGAATTAGTCCATTATCTCGAAGGTGATCTGATCATAAAGTCTGAACTGGGTAAGTCATTGTGGGTAGTAATGCCCCTGTAACTTTTTTAGTAAAAGGTTTAACTTTGCCTTAAGCAAGCCCTGCCCTTTGTTCTTGTGCAACTAGGTTAACACACCTTTGAAATGTCAGAGTAATCCTTTTTTGGGAGCACGTAATTTTGTTAACTATCCTATCATGTAATCTTAGTTCTCTTCTTAATTCCAATGTATAAAAAGAAATGCATGGGGGGCGGGAGGGGGGGGT